AGTGAATGAGTGAATGAATGAGTGAATGAACGAATGATTGACTGAATGAATGAATGAATGATTGACTGAATGATTGAATGAATGATTGATTGATTGATTGATGAATTGATTGAATGAATCGCGCGCGTGCGGGCCCCCCCCCACACCCCCTCCCCCCCGCGCGCGTGCGCGCGCGCCCTTCCCTGCCCCCTGCCCCATTGATTGATTGATTGATTGATTGATGGATTGATTGAATGAATGAAGGAATGAACGAATGAATGAGTCAAGGAATGCATGCGTTGCCGGCCGGACTCTGGGCGCAGTAGCGTTATATATATATATATAATACACACACACACACGTAAGAACGTATAGGTAAATAGAACATGAAAATAACTAGCATTGCTCTTTTTGCCATTTGGGACATGGGTCTTTGTTCGTAACAGGCGGGATTGAACATAAGCAACACAGTTAAGAAAACCAGACTGCCCTGACTGGACAGATTCCCTAACATTCGCCCACACAAGCGGCTTAAAAAAAGAAAGCCAGACTACCCTGGCACCGGAATCCAGCGCTAGCGCTGCACCACGGTTATGACAGTGCCAAACTCCGAGACCAAGAGTCGTTGGGCCCCAACTTGTCCATCTGCGTCAGTGTCTCTGATCGAGGCATCTTGGCCTGAGAGGCAAGGAACAGTTGGAAGCCTCAGCCGTCTACGCATGACTTAGGGGGCACCATGGTCCGGCTTGGAGAGAGAGTCGCAGAGCCCTTTCTGCCGCGCGTCAGGGAGCTGCAGCAGGGTCAGCAAGCTGGCTGCTTTCAGGCAAGACCAGCTCCTACTGCAACCGCTTATCTCGGTTGCGGGACCCGCGGGGCCGCCCGGGCCGCCCGAGGCCCTTGGCCCTTGGCCCGTTCTGCAGCTCTGGCCAGACTGTACAAGGCAATCTCTGTCTGCAGGGCGATGCAGGCGATTCGTCCATCAACAGCATCAATAGCTTGAACACAAAGGGTTCTCACTGAAGCTCCTGCAAGTTCTACACCGCCCACAAAGTTCGTATCAAACAACCCTGCCATCTTGTGCCAACCTGCAATCAACAGGCTCCTCGTCTCTGGGGTCTGCGACGCACTGGATGGTCTCTTTGCCTTCAGCACTTGGCACTTGAGCAAGATTTTCTGCCAACCGTAGGGCATGGTTTCCACATTCCGTCCATCTCTTTCTTACAATTGCTTACCTCAGATGCGGTGTACTCTGGCGCCTCGTGGCAGCGTGGGCATCAGCTTGTGATGGCCGCAAAGCAGCGTCGTATGGATCAAGACCTGCCATGTTCACAAAGAGGGAGAATTCGGAACATGTACCGACATCCAGAAAAGCAGTTCGCACAACTTTGAAATTCGCAAAGCATGGGGAGTGATTCCGGAAAGCAAGTTTACGTTTATAACCCCAGACCCTAAAATAAGACGATATCGGTTGGCGAACTCCAAATCATAGAGGAACACCAAACCCCAACTGTTGGCCGACCCCAAACCCCAACAAGATCGTGGGTGGCAAACCCCGAAACCTTGAACGAACATGAGCTTGGTGGGAAAGTCCCGGAGTCTCTAAGCCCCGAGCTATGTTCGTCGGCAAACCCCCGGACGCCTAAAGCAAGACCTTGGCTGAAGGAAAACCTAAACCCAAAAAGGCGAAGGTGGGTGGCAAACCCGGATGCAAAGCCCAAACCATAAACGGAGATCCTCGGCAGTTTGCCTGACAATCCCCTCAAACCTCGAAGGAAGAACGTGAGTGGCAAACACCACACCTTCTTAGAAATGTAAACGAGATCTTGGCTGGCAAACCCTAAACGAATGGCGTCAGCACTTGTGCGGTTTGCGGTTCTTTTTGGTGAGTTGGGACCTTCCGAAAGGCTCTTCGCTCGCTCCCATCCTGAGAGTCGCACCGAGCCTCCCCGTCCTAAGTCTTCTTTTCTCTGCCCAGTTCTCTGTACTCTCCTTTCGGAGTCTTCGGCGCTTCCTTCGCGGGAGAGCCGGCCTCGTACTCGCAGAGCGAGCTTTCCGTGACGCTCACGATGCGAGACTCGGGCCTGGCGCAGGGTGCGCAGGAACAGGATTCTACGTCATAACAAGCGTTTTAACATGGCTCTCTGGTAGGTATGGGCGCTCTTGAAACTGCTGTTTTACGGCAACTGTCATTGAGGGTAGTAGTGCTGATTCTCGGTGTTGCTGGTGGTGCTGCTGCTTCGAGCTTCTGAAACAGTCTGCAGCATATCTTCAGGCGAACCCACAGAGAAGAGGTACCACTGGTGCTGTTTCTGCCGGCATTCCTGCGATTCTGTCTTGGTCCGCAGCATGAAGAGCACGGACAACACCAGGCGACTAGGTGAATGGCAGTGCATTCTTCGCTGCTTCTGACAGCACATCAGCATGTGTTCTGAACCTGCGCGAGAAACCGCGGTCATCCTTGACGTGCTGAACGAGCACAACAATGACTCTGGAACGAAGTACTCTGCATGCCGTAGCTTAGTCGCTTGGAAAGTAGGGCCGGATGAATCATCCAGACCATGTTCTACTAGTTTCTTGTTCGTCATGTGCCGTCCTTTGTCCGTGCATCTGTAACTCTTTGACGAACTTGATTAAGATACCGCTTTTCCCCTTTGCGCCTCGTCTGCCAGTCAGGCGGACACTGGAAATGCATCGCTGCCCGTCGGGGCTGTGATGTCTCATCGCAAACCTGGAAGCAGGATGCTTCAGCACTGGCCAGCTACATGGCAAGAGATCCGCAAAATCCAACCAAGTCTCATTGCCACCCCCAAGCTGCTGCTCCAGGGTCAAGTGTCGTGACCTGAAACAAGGAAAGCTGTCTCAGAGCTGATGAGAGAAGCCTAGCAACGATGAGCGACTCAACGCTAAGGCACGGTGGGGCTCTTCTCTCCCGCGGGCTCATGCTCGGTTTCAGCCGAATCATGCCTCGAGCGCAAGCCCAGGAAGACTGGAGATAATTTCACTTGAGAGCTGCAAATTGGATTCTCAACTTGCTGCAGTCGCATGCTGGAAACCATACCCACGGGCCAGAACAAGTCTGGGCACTCATGTTGACGCGGTTCGGCGACTTGCTCTGCGCCGTCCCCTGGCGAATCTTGCTTTACAGGGCGTAAGATCAGAAGATGCGGCAGGGTATTCATGCCACTTGATGAGGACGGGCTGACGTGTCTTATCATGTCTTCCATCGAAGTCCAGATCTGAAAAGGATCGACAACAACACAAGCCTCGCCTCTAATGTTCCCAGCGTGTACTGCGGAGCACGTTTGTCATTCTCCAAATGGAACTGCACCAAGTTCGCAGGGTAGCAGTACCTGGCAATGTGTGGACCAGTCTGCAAGCCTTCATGGAATTCAACAGTTCCATGCTTGTAAGCCTCTTGTAAGCTAAGGCGCTCATACGTCCACCACCCGCGAGAAATGTTGAGACATCGGCTTCGAAGGGGTTCTAACCTCGGCTCTAGACTCTAGACGCAAATCGCTGATGAGTCCTCCCTGAATGCACAACCCCTTCGAGGCATCGACAGTGCCGAAGCAAGCATGCGGCTGCCGTCTGGCGCGCTCGCCTGGACACCATAGAGCTCCCCGGCAGAATCCTCCATGCCAAGCCCATTCCAGCCTCGGCCCCATCCCTGTCTTTCCAAGAGCAGAAGGCTGGTCCTCCCATGTCACTGCAAGGAAAGTGCGCCGGTTGTGGGCAGTGTGTCCTGAGACTGTGAGGGTGTAGAAATGCACAGGGTCTTCGACGACCTGCCACGGGCATAGGATCTGCTTCTGGCAGACCAAGGAAGTGACTTTTTGGGTCCAGGGGCCTGTTTAAAATTTGAAGAATCCGGCCTCAAGCGATGTGGCCGATGTATCTCCACGACCGCACACATATCTGACCTTGCAGGGCTAGCAGTGGTCTGTTCAACCGCGGGGCCAAGGACTAACAGGACCGACCAACAGAGCCCTTCTCATCTACGACATTGGCAGGGGCACCTCGGTGCTGCGATTGTCGGTGCCGCCCAGGTACAACTCGCCTGCAGGCATCGTTGTGTGCACTCGTCATCAAGTGTAATTAGGAAGGAATTCCGGGAGCATCTCGCAGGGTCCCAAGACCGCCCCAAACGGTTTTCTAGAACGGTTTGGATAGAACCACTGGAAGCCTTGAAGCGATTTCAAGTCCAAAATGTGAGTAGCACCGGCACTGTGACCACGACTTGCGCCCCCAAAATGTGCACGGCACGATTTCGTGAGTGCGACGTAAACATGCTGGACTGTGGCAGGAGCAGGACTTCTGGAAGCAGAAACATGCGGGACTGTGCGGAAAATGTGACCACGAACAGTCCGACTTTGGTTTGAAACCTGGAAGTCACGCACGGACCTAGCGTGGCCCTGCCTCGACTTCAGGGCCTCCGGGCAGCTTGAAACCCCATTTTACTCACACTCCGCACGACTTGCTCTCCGCGAGAGCGCACAAGTCATGTAATTTCCAATGGAAGCGGATCGGGAGTCCGTGTCGCGTGCGCTGTGGCGAGAACGTGATTGGCCTTTTAACTTCGCGCCACGCCGCGTGGGGGCCGTGCCAAGTAACCAGATCCTCTGAAGGACAATTGGAACCACTGTAAGGAACTGCCCAAGCTGTCACTAGCTGTCTGCAAGCCGGTCACGGACTTCACCCGTGGGCAGGAGACGGTCAGACTTGGGGTGATGTTCGCCCAGAGAGAAGCGCATGCCAGCCTCGCTCCCGAACAGACATGGCAATAGGCAGACTGCTTTTGAAAATCTGCAAGGAATCGCAAGAACCTTAGTCGGACAGTGATCTTTGCCCAGAAGCATCGTCGCGGTATTGAACCTTCGGGCGGGCAAGGCATTCCCCTCCCACTCTCTCTGCCTCACTCACGCACTCCCGTCGGCCAAACCCAAAAGCCGGGAATTTGGAAAGGCTTAGTTGTGCCCAGAAGCCACTTTGCTGCCAGAGCAGAGGTCGTAGGACCAGAAATCCTTGATCACGGTCAGGCAGCTCCCCCGCCATGGGGCGAGCTTGGCCTCAGCATTACGGATTGATCACACTGCCACTCTTTGTAAAACCAGCATCAACCGAAACTCGCATGTCCTCCTCCTGAAGCCTCGGAGAAGCGGCCAGGCTGCTGCCAGGAAGTGCGCTTTCGCATCTGGCGCGCCAGGCAGCTGCTGGGAAATGTTCCTGCCTCCTGAGGCTCCGACCAGACAGGATACCAATTTTTCAGTGCTGAAAACATTACAGTACGGACTTACGGACAGACTGCTGCTACGTCGAGCCAAGGGTGAGCCTCTTCCCCTTCTGCAGCTTTCGCAATAATCTGTGCGCATGCAGCTTGGCGGCCAGGTAGTCGGCATCTAAATTTCCGGCGGCCGTTCGCCAGGTTCATGACTTTGACATCCTCAAGACAACACGAGCGCATGGAAGGGACTCCAAATGCCGTGTTGACGGCCTCGTCATCGAGGTTGTCCAGCCCGGCTGCCTCGGTGGTAGAGCTGTCGAAATCCAGGTTCACCACCTCCCGGATGCACAGCTACACATCTCCGTCTGTTCGTCGTGAAAAACCACCCAGCCAACCGGAACAAAGACTCTTCCATTCCGGTTCGTGCAGCAGCCGCTGCTTTCCCAGACCCTTCAGAGAAGGGTGAAGCATCAAAACACTATGCAAAAATACCCAGAAAACTATTTAAAAACAAAAAGATATTTAGAGGACAAAAAGAACTCTTCCTCAATTTATGAGCAGAATAGAGAGGAGGCAAGCTAATTGAAAGATAAGAAACTATTCCTATTTTGTAAGCAAATTATAAAAAAAACTATTCTTATTTTGTAAGATTAGAGAGGAGGCAAGACAACGCGCGTTCCAAGTGGAGGGCTTGCCCTCCGTTTGCTTGCGGAATCCCGCCAGCGCACAGGGAAGAACATCTTGTCAGTCCAACGGAACCCGCTAGAACTCGGGGTATAAATCCTTTTGGTCGCGCGTGAGAATCGTCACTCCGTGCTTCAAAAGCTCTAATTGGCCCTGCTCCGGAAAGCATTGGTGTGTTTTGTGTGTGTGTGTGTTTTTTTTGTCTTTTTGCTGGCATATATTTCTTCAACACGCCCCCTCATTTGACGATTCCGGCTCCTCATGTATCTTAAACATGCCCCGTCACTTGGCGATTCCGATTCATCCTTTAACGTTATCTTAAACCGCGGACCCTCATTTGGCGACTCTGGTTCATCGTATATCTTAAACACGCCACCTGATCTGGCGAGTCCAGTTCATCATCATCATCATCATCATCACCATCATCATCATATATATATAGATAGATAGATAGATAGATAGATAGATAGATAGATAGATAGAGAGATATAGAAATACATCTTAAACATGATCCCTCATGTATCTTAAACACGCCCCTTCATCACATTCTTGACATGCTTCCGGAATCCTGCCAGTGCAATTTTGTCAATCCAACAGAACCCTCTAGTACTCGGGGGGAAATCCTTCTGGCCGCGCTATTTGTGGCAAGTATTGTTACTCCTCCCGCCAAACACACTGAAGGCCACGCACAAATCAAGAAACACTGAATAGTAGCCCTGAGTACATGATTAAGCACGCTCTCATCACTCTGCTGGAGGCCACTTCTCGTATTCTCATATGTTCTCATCACTGAATGTCCATTGAGGGTGCGCCATTCTTTGAAACTGCTTCGCATGGCTTAGAATTTAGAAAGAGCCGGGGGGGGGGGTTGCAGCCAACCCCCATTGCAAACTCTGACGGAATGTCCATTGATGGCACGCCATTCTTTGAGGCATTTTCGCAGAGCTGAAAGGAACGGGGCAGATGATTGGCTTCTTGGAAAGGCTACACGAAGGAAAGACATGTCCGTTGACGGCACGCTGTCCTTTCAAGCAACTTCGCATGGCTTAACATGTTGAAAAGAGCAGACGGGGTTGAGGCGCAGCCCCCGCCCCGTTTGCAAACAGAATGCTCGTAGAAAGGCTGCTTGAAGGAATGCCCACTGATGGAGCGCCATTGTTTGAAGCAGGCTCGTACTGCTCAAAATCTAATATGTGCAGCGGGTTTTATATGTGTACACCATGATCGCTTTACACTGCTTGACCTGCCTTGGCTTGGGTTTGAGCGGGGATGGGGGCGAAGGGACGAGTTTACATACATGGGCGTACTTATATATACATATGTATATATATAATCACACATATATATATATATGCATATATACACACATATTTGCATGTCTCTCTATGTATATATATATGTGCATATCCTCATGCATAGACGTAATATACACTTACACACATACATATACATCCTCATCATCAACACCCTCATCATCATCATCATCATCATCATCGCCATCGTTATCATCCTGAAAAAACACCCGAAATGAAGCTCTGGGAATGAAGGTTTCGGCTTGATGTTTTCAGAAGACGTTTTTCTGTATGCTTACTGTCTGCAGAAAGTGCATGTGCCTAAGTAACTGGATTTTAATAAGGCAAGTACATTTGTATCTACTTAGGATCCTTAAAGAGTAAGGGACTAACTTCTCTGTCCTGAGTTGCTGATCTTTCTTTCTTTCTTGCTTCATTAGGTTTTTTGTTTATTCCTTCTTTCTTTATATCTTCCTGTCTTTCTTTCTGTCTTTCTGTGTTCTTTGTCTCTGTGCTGAATTGCTGTCGCTTCCTATATATCTCCTAATATCTTTCTGTATTTCCTTCTTTATTTCTTTGTTTACGTTGGCTTTCCTTCGATTTGTTATCTTTGCCTTTTTACTTGCTTAATTAGCTTTTTGTTCTTTTGTTCTGTCTTTCCTACGTTATTTCGTTAATTCGTTCTGTCTTTCTTTGTCTCTACACTGAATTGCTGTCCTTCTTTTTGTGCTTATGTGTGTTGTTCTTTCGTTCTTGCTTTCTTTGCTTCTATCGCTCTTTGCTTCTTTCCGTCCTGCTTTCCAGGTTTTGTTTGGAGTAGCTTTTTTGGATCCCTGGTACAGGTGTCTATGCGTTGTGGTGTTCCCTTGTCTTTTGCCTTGTATTCTACTTATGAAATAGGAATAGTTGCTTTAGATCCCTTAAACAGTTGTTTTTGATCCCTTTAACCCCTCTTCCAAATCAGAATCTGACAAACAACGGACCATGCCAATCCGTTTCCTTGTCAAGGTGCATAGTTGGCATGCAAAGATGCCACGAAATTGGCACTCGCCTGGACAGAAGTGTGAGATGCACTCCCTCTCTGCCGTTGGCAGACCTAAGAAGATGCTGTGCCGCACCTTGTACAGTTGCAGCGTGCATAGGGCTGCCAGCAATTGCAACATGCTCGGGCACTCCGTGGCCCAAGATCCTAAAGCTACGCGAGAATGCCCTGGAGAGTGGAGTGGAGTGAGTGGAGTGATCAGCGTCCCTAGCTAATTTGTGATGGCGTCAGTGTAGGAGGAGCGTGCCTCGACTTGAAAGCAAGAGATCTATGAATCTACGACTAAAGCTGACTCCAGACTATGGTGGAGTGACTACCTGTCTCACACTGTAACAACATGAACCGCGTGTTGCGCCCTTCGCATGCAGGATCACCGTTACGGGCCAATGTGGGTTCACCGTTCCTGCTTGATCCAAAGCTGTGGCAGGATTGCAGCATGTTCGTCCCCGAAGCTTTAGCCCTCAAAAATCGCACAACATCCGAGCGGTTCATCAAAGTCTTGGCATCGTGCTGTGTGACGCCTGCTGGGTGACACCTTCCGAGCGGCTCGAGATCAGACTATTAGTCAAGCTCCAGGAATATTTGCTGTGACAGACTTGATCAGTAAGCAGTTTCCGCATGTTTCCGCTACAAGGCTAGTTGGACTGGTGATCTTTGGTTGGGCTTCCGCTGTTGACATCTTTGCATTTGTCACAGCAGACGCAGAGACGACGGCTCGCGGCAAACCTGACATGACAATGTTTTTTTTACATGCCGCCACTCATCAGCTTGCTCCAGGACTGTAGGTTACATGCTGCAATTTCTTCGAGAGACTGATCGCTATGGGAATCTGCCATGTTGACGTGGCACTTCCGAACCCCCGGAGGCCCGGGAACCTGGACTGTGTGACCCCTCTAAGCGAAGCAGGGGCAGGGACTTTTGCGGGAGAGAAAGAAAAAGCCCTTGAGATTTTCCATGTGAAAAGATGTGCAAACCTAGGCCTTTCTGCCCGTCCAAGGGGCTTCCAACACCAGTTGGTGAAACTCTTCACGCTTCTTCAAGAGATCGGCTGCTGCCTTGCGACAACACATGAGATGGAAGCTGAAGCACAACAGTCATACAAAGGTGGGCGAAAGCATTAGAGATGAAGTATCATGACCATAAACCCATGATGACGATAATGACAATCAGGAGGAAGAGGAGGCCGATGATGGCGCAACTGAGTGCAAATCCACTATATCCACTGTACCTTGCTTGATTGCAGGTATGCATAGTTTAAGGCTTTCTCGCTGCCAACTTTGAGCTTGACCGCTTCCCTCAATGTTGTCAGGTTTTTGCTTGTGCGGCTGCCGCCCTGATGGTAACTTCGATGACAGCGAGTTCACCGAGTGCACATCGTCTTCAAGACTCTTTGTTAGTGTGTGTGCATACATGCCATGTTATATCCGCCGACCCCTGCTGGGGC